ATGAATTTGTTAGGTATGCAATGGAAAGAACATCAACCAGAATAAACCTCTGGTTCTGGGGACGCAATGAGGCCAATATTCCAGCTGAAGTCAGGAACGGAGCTTCTACGATCAATACCAGTAGATGGGGAACTCCGTACGCAAACTTTGTGAATAACAACTGCGACATATCCTCCAAATTTGGACCCAATAACATCATCATTAATCTGACACTGTGTAAGTCATCGTTGATCAGAGACATTTGATACTCTAAACATGTAATTTAGGCGGTGATTGGGCTGGGAGCGTTTATCCTTCATCTTGCCCATCAACATGCGTCGGTGAGTCCCACTTTTACCGTTGCGTTGATATATAAAGTTGACGTTTGAGGTATCTAGATCACGTCAATAATAATCCCGGCGCCTTCAGAAATGCTTATTGGAATTTCGCGAGCTTGAGAGTTTACCAGTGAATTGCGATTCCACAGATACCAGAGCCTAGATTGTAGATCCGTATATCCAGTCTGTATTTAATATAGAAGCTAGAGGGTTCACCGTATAGTCGTTTATAATGCCGCGGTTTGTTCTGGGCTCAATTGATTTGGAAGAGATATCATAACAACATTTCAACGAATTCATAAAATCAGTCTAGCCATTATCATCTCAGGTTCCAACTCTTGATGAGTTATTGTAGGACGTAGGTGTCATTGAGCAAAGTTGCTTCATCTTGATTGAGACCCAGCCTCATGTAGATAGGTGGCACTCGCTTAAAAGTTACAGATCGGGATTCATATTCAGCGGGCCTACAGATGACGATGAACAGTTTGGGGTAGTGGAGAGATAAATCCAACATGTAGAATGCATTCTATGTTCGGTTTTGCTAATTTGGGGGTTCGCAGGTCCACGAATTAATGAAGCTGTATCTCCCTCAATTCTGAATCAATCAAGATAATTATTTGTGATTATGGGAGCCTATAAGTTCCTCTTTAATATTATCTATGATTGCGGTGAGTTGATAATGAGGGGGTCACGTAATTGGCTAATGCTAGACTTGTATATCTAAATCTTCTTTCCCTTCATCCGGGGATCTAGCTCATCGGTAGAGCGCTTCCTTAGCATACAAAAAGGCCCAGCTTACGTAAGCTGGAAGAGGTAGCGGGTTCGACTCCCTCGTTCTCCACTTTTTGGCCTTTGAACGTCAATATTTTACCGAAATGCGGCGAGACA